AGGAATATATACAGAGAAATAGAAGTGTTTTTATGAACAATCAGGTTTAGTAGAGAGAATAATGTAGTCTTGACCAGTATCACGATTCCAATGTCTTGCAGAAATTGTCTGAACGCGACTCTGTTTCGGAATGCCGCTGACTCGACTCTTGACTCGATTTTTGATTTCTTGTACTCTTTCTTCTTTCATTAATTTTCTTTCTTTCTTTATTCCTTTCTTTCTTTCTGTCTTTATTTATTTATTTATTTATTTCTTCCATCAAAATTGCCTGTCGTTTTCATTTCTTCTAGTCTTTCTCTCTTTCTTTAATGCTTTCTTTCTTTCTCTCTTTCTTTCCTTCTTTCTTTCTTCCTATATTTATTTATTTATTTCTTCCATCTAATTTGTCACTCGTTTTGATATCTTTCTTTCTTTCTTTCTTTCTTTCTTTCTTTCTTTCTTTCTTTCTTTCTTTATATATATATAAAAGAAAGAGGTTACAGTGGTTCCAACGAGAGAAAAGTGTGTATATTAAAAAGAAGAGAAGAGAGATGCCGCAAACGTTTTTGGTTGTAATGTGGATTTTAAAAAAAAAATATTATGCTTTATTTTCCATAATTTTACTACACGTGTTTCTGCTCTCGCGACCGTCTTCAGGTAAAAGGCGGTGATTTCCACATATTATTAAAAATAATTAATTTTTTCCTTATGTTTTTCAATGTTAAATACTCTCGATATGAGACATTCTCTGTTTTTGTGTTAATAATCCGAATGTCTTTCTTGATATATATATATATATATATATATATATATATATATATATATATATATATATATATATATTTAGTGTATATGTATATTTATTTATATACAAATTCTCTACACACGTACGTCATAAAGAATATATATATATAAAGAAAAGATAACGTTTTTCAGAGATATATTTTTATTCATATACAATTTTTACTCACACACATCATATAATATATATATATATATATATATATATATATATATATATATATATATATATATATAATCGACTCTCCTGTCGAGATTCGACGTGAGGGTCAAGCAGACTGTTTACAGGAAACCGACAACAGCACATGAGATTTGATGATAGTGATGAAGGTTTCGTGCAGGACCATCCACACTTTTAGAAGGGCCGAATACAGAGGCATGGTGCACCTAATGCCACAAGGTTCCCAAACGACCCTCCGCAGGTTTTGTTGACCTTCTCCTAGACCAGTTGCCATCCAAAGCTATAGAACCCAGTGTGTCCTGCTATTTTACCCATAGCTGGAGGGAGAGGATTCATACCTTTCCCAAGGGTATTAGCACGTAAGTGAATGTAATGGATTCAACTGGAATTCGAACTCGGCTCTGCGATTCCTCAATCCAAGCCGCTATCCATTACTCCACCGTGCCTCAAAAAAAAAAATATATATATATATATATATATATATATATAAAAGAAAGACAAAAGAAAAGACAAAAATATATATATATATATATATATATATATATATATATATATATATATATATATATATATATATATATATATATATATATATATATATTTTTCTTTTTTGTCTTTCTTCATTGATGAAAAATAGTGTTTATTTTATAACTGTCTCTTTCTTTTGTGCTTCTCTCTTTCACTCTCTAACTGATTCTTTCTTTCTCTATTTTTCCTCCACGCTGTCTCTCTTCTGACTCTGTCATTGTCTATCTCGCTTTCTTATTCACTTTTTATGTCGCTTTCATTTGTTGTTTCCTTCCTTTTTACTGACCATTAAAATTATTTTCTTTTATATTCATTCGTTTATTGAGATGGCCAAGTCCGAATTTATTTATTTTTTATTATTATTCTTTATCATCTCCGGCTTCAGCATAAGTTTTATGTTCTACATCGGTTATAATGTATGCTCTGGGAAAGGATTACTCTATCGAAAATCCAATCTCTTGGCGACTGTAAAACTTTTCGGTGCTAAGTCCAGGATTCAGTCAAAAGGACGTATCAAAAATAAGATCAGACACCTCTTCGAGTTATCAAATAATCCGCCATATTTAATATGGCCGCTATGTTTCAGAGGTCACTATATGACCAGAATTGTACGACCATCGATAAACAAATAGCTACAATTGTTGACCTTACTTTATAAAATGGAACAAACCATTTTACAGACATATAAAAAAACGTCCATTTCGTATGTATCTGGTTTTATTGGTTTTAATAAGCCCCAGGTGGGTGAGATTATGAGTCCACTGGTTAGGAAATTTAGTCTATTGGTTCATGTGAGTAGACAATTTGCAGATATGAAGAAATATTTCCCCCATTGATGGCGGCGATTGTACATGATCGTAGAAATAGAGACAGCAAGGAGCTTAATATTATATATATGTTTGTCTGTCTGTCTATCGATTTTTTAATGTCTGTTTTTCAGTCTTTCTGCTTTTCTGTCCCTGTCTGTCTTTTGCCTTTTCTATTTCCTGCAATCGGTGTGGGATTGTTTCTCTCTCTCTGTTTCTGTCTCTTTCCATCCATATATATATATATATATATATATATATATATATATATATATATATATATATATATATATATATATATATATATATATATATATATATATATATGTATATATATATATATGTATATATATATATATATGTATATATATATATATATATATATATATATATATATATATATATATATGTATATATATATATATATATATATATATATATATATATATATATATATATATGTATATATATATATATATATATATATATATATATATATATATATATATATATATATATATATATATATATTTTCATATATATTTTCTGTTTATAGGTTATTTTATAGATACAAATTAACCAGACGCTTCCTCTATAGGTAAATGTTATATCACGTCAGACTATATGACGGTTCCGTATAGTATACAGGTTCGATTCCTATCGATAGACACATATATTCTATGAGATTTCTCGGAGGCAGTAAATTTTGTTAATACTGTTTATTATAAACAGAGCCTTTCCTTAAATTTTGTGTCTATATAAATAGCGTATAAACAGAAAAAAATATTAAAATAATTGTTGGGCTTAGTCCATTTCATAATATATGACGTCATTTGATAGGCTTCGACAAGATATGAGCGCTCGAGAGAAATTATAGGAAATTCGTAATTTAAAAACAGTAGTTTAACCTTGCTAATCATAAGCTTCCTCTATAGCTAAAGGGTATAGCACGTTAAGTCTATATGACGGTTCCGTATAGTATACAGGTTCGATTCTTATCGATAGACGCATATATTCTATGAGATTTTTCTGGGCCCTTCAGAGGCAGTAAATTTTGTTAATACTGTTTATTATAAACAGAGCATTTACTTAAATATTTGTATCTATAAACATAACGTATAAACAGAAAAATATATTAAAATAATTGTCGGACGTTTCATAATATATTTACTTGTCGCTCTCCCACTTTTGTCTATGGCTCTCTCTATCTATTTCTCTGTCTGTCTATCTCTCTCTCTCTCCCTCTGTTTCTCTATTCCTATTTATCTAACTGTCTCTGTGTTTTTATTTAGATATAAGTGTGTCTGTTTCCTTCTCTTTCTTTCTTTCTATGTATTTGTCACTCACATTTTTGTGGCTGGCCTTCTCTCATTGTCTCTATTTCTATGTTTTCTAAGTTATATCTCTATATATACATCTCTCTCTATCTATCTCTCTGTCTGTTATTATTATTATTATTATATAAAAATATATAATAATCTCTATCTATAAAAGGCAGAATGTGTGTGTGTGTGTGTATGTGTGTGTGTGTAACGAATGCACGGCCGCAATTTCCGACGGATTTGCACCAAAATTTACATGCACATGCTCCAAGTTAGCGGAAAGGCCAAGACTGACTTTGCATTTCCCAACTCCCATCGATAGGGGAAATAATCGATTTTTTCATGCTTCTACAGCAGTTTTCATGTAATTTGCGGCCATTTTGTACTGGTCAGAGTGAGAGCCTATAGCTGTCTGCCACAAATAGGCAGGAAGATTCTATTGGCCAGCGTGTGGGCCAACAGCTGACTGACACGAGTGTTAACTAGCATGCTAGCATGCAAATAAACTCGATAGCTGCATACGTCACAAGTGGGAAAAATTTAAATCTGCATGGCACTTTACTACAATTGGCTCATTCGCTTGCTTAAACTCAACGTTGATTCTGATTCCGCAGAACTGGGTTGGGTGTGAAAAAGTATTTGTTGTTAACATTCTTTTTTCATTCGGTTTTTCCAGTTACTAGTCCTTTTAAAGCTGATCGTTTTTTTGTTCATTTTGTTTAGTTCTTTTTTCGTAACAGATTTAATGTTTAGTATAGAGCTTAGAAAAATTCGCAGTGTGAGATACGCAAGAAGTAAGGCGTGTAGCAACATCAGCACGGCAAAGGGCACGCCTTTACAGGCAAGGAAAGGCAAAAATATTCAAGTGTCAAGTGATAGCGATTGCTGTATGAGTCGTACGATTTTTGAATCAAGCACGGGCAACGCCGGGTAATTCTGCTAGTATTTATTTATAATATATGATTTTTTACAGTGAAAAATAAAAAATTTGCTATTTACAATTGGATTTTCAGTGTATTTTTTCTTAAATATTTCATTTGTTGTTTTACTTTTTTCTTTAACCGGTTTCGCTTAGCTTTTCAAAAAGTTTTTAATTGTTTGTATCTACACGTGTTGACGCTTAAGTTTTGAACAAATGTAAAAAAAAAATGAAAGAAAAAGCAGCGTAACTGGATATATATGTCATTTATGGTAAGAAGGATTTGGTAGAATCTATTTATGCAATGAATTAAGTATGGGTTTGAAATTGTTGCTGAAAAATATTTCCTTATTAATCCGGGAAGACATTAATATTTGGCAGGTTTTGTGCTCCGCAGTCCTTTATATGTTGACTAAACGGTTTCGCACATATTTTTCGGTTCTAGCAACTGACGGCCTGGACCCTCATTGATTGAAAACAAGAGGAGAATCCAGTAGATAGATAGATACATATATAGATATGAAGAGAGCGAAAGAGATAGATAGATAGATAGATAGATAGATAGATAGATAGATAGATAGATAGATAGATAGATATGAAGAGACTGAAACAGATAGATAGATATACAAGAAATCTGACAGATAGATGGATATTAACATACTAAGATAGATAGATAGATAGATAGATAGATAGATATATGTGAAAAGACTGAAATAGATAAGTAGATAGATATGAAGAGACTGAAATAGATAGATAGATATGCAAGGACTATATATATATATATATAGAGAGAGAGAGAGAAAGAGAGAGAGATAGATAGATAGATAGATAGATAGATAGATAGATAGATAGATAGATAGATAGTTATACAAGAAATCTGACAGACAGACATAGATGGATATTAACATACTAAGATAGATAGATAGATAGATAGATAGATAGATAGATAGATAGATAGATAGATAGATGTGAAATGACTGAAATAGATATGAAGAGACTGAAATAGATATATAAATATGCAAGGATTATATATATATATATATATATATATATATATAGAGAGAGAGAGAGAGAGAGATAGATAGATAGATAGATAGATAGATAGATAGATAGATAGATAGATAGATATACAAAAAATCTGACAGACCGATAGATATTAACATACAAAATAGAGAGATAGATAGATAGATATGAACAGGCTAAGACAGACAGATAGATAGATAGATAGATAGATAGATAGATAGATATGAAGAGACTGAAACAGATAGATAGATAGATAGATAGATAGATAGATAGATAGATAGATGCATCTGTATTTCGTCTTCATATACCACCTGCCTGATTTTATGCCCAGATCTATTCGGAGCAGACGTTCCGTCGCTTTCTTTCTAAATCACCAGCCTTAATGACCACAGTGAAAGGGTCCGATAAATTTTCCCGACATGTTCGACACTGCTGGACGTATTAACCCGGTATGTCAAGACAATAACTATCCGACTGAAAAGGAGCGCCTTGGCCATTCTGCTACTGTAGCATGATTGCATGCACATTCAAATAGGCGCCCATATACGCATGCGCATACTGGCGTTGCAGAATACACTGGCACCTCATAAAGATTCGTCGTCAAGTAACAGAGCGAAAGTTGCTATAATGAGAAGCAGAAATAAACCGAAATAAATACGAATCAAAACTTGATATTAGGTGGGTTTGCAAAAGTTTCCAGCCGAAATCCAGCTCTCAGCTGAATTCAGTGTCGAGTCAAAAACAAATGCCTTCCATATTACTGATTTTTGAAACTGAAACATTATTATCTGTCTAGATCTCTGAGAAGAGGTATCATGATTACTTGCCTTTGATTACATTATTAGAACAGTTATCCCCATCTTGATTGCCATATTCACAACGTTTCGGACTCTATATGTCTGAAGTGAGGTATCATATTTTCTTGCATTATTTACATTATTCGGACTGTTATCCTCATCTTCATTGCCATATTCACAACGTTTCGGACTCAATATGTCTGAGGTGAGGTAACATGTTTTCTTGCATTATTTACATTATTCGGACTGTTATCCTCATCTTCATTGCCATATTCACAACATTTCGGCCTCTATATCTCTGAGATGAGGTATTATGATTACTTGCTTTAGTTACATTATCCGGACTGTTATCCTCATCATCATTGTAGTATTCACAATGTTTCGGCCGTTGTACGCTCCGGCCTTCTTCAGGTGATTGGAATTTCGAACTGAACACTTTATTCGTCCACCGGGGTCGGTTGCTCTAGTTCCACGTGTCATACCCCTTCCGAATGTCGCAGTTATTTCATTTTAACTCTCCAAGGTTTTGGTTCACCACTGCTTTGGCCTGGTATTGAACTCACAACCCTTTGGATCTAGTCACTGGTTCGAACCAACGTTTTTATTACATTTAACGCTTGGATAATGGCTCAGGATTTAAAATTGGAGATCCACGGTTTCAATTCCAGTCGGGTTCGTTTTATTCTTTATCACATTTTATACTGAAACACACATATTCTATTGTTAATAGACTCTCCCACATATAATAAGTAGTAGTAGTAGCAGTCGCCAGTGGGCTCAGTGAGTCGGTCTCAGTTCAGTCTGAAGTCAGACGAACGGTTGACCGGTTGAACTCTCTGCCTTCGGGCGGGGAGGAACCCGAACGAGGCTACGCCGAAGGGCGGAGTCTCTTTCGGGGAGGTAAACCGACCCTGAACCCGTTTATACGGGTTAAAAGGGCATTTCTTTGGCCGAACCCAAGGGCTCGGAGTTCCCACGGGCTCGGAGATCCCACGGGCTTGGAGATCCCACGTTAAACCGGCCTTGTGCCACATGATCCCCTCGTGGGGGGGTGACTGAATATCGCTCAGTGAGTTGGTGAGTCAGTCGATGTTGGACATTAAAGTATCAGCCACCACAACTAGATTGCTGCGTCATTAACTATTATAACAAGTTCCTAACGTTTTGTACGTCGAACCTTTTTAGGACCAACTTAGTGAAATACAAGCCTCCACTGTGAAACTACTCTATAACACACATTCTTAGGAAATATAAAAAATCTACCTCTTCTCCCCCAGCTATGGCTTAATTAGTCGAACTTATATCAGTAATACTCATTACTATCTAAAAAAGATATCTTACAATCTAAAAACATTTTCTGGTTTGAAATAACCCGCAAAGGAATACATAAGTCGTAAAAAAACAATTCAATCAAACATAGATTTAATCCGAATAATATAAGGCAAGCAATAAAACTGTGACAGTCTATTGGGTGTCAGAGAGAAGAAAAAGCAAACATGTTCTATAGCTTATTTAAATGACGTCTACTGGCGTAGCCTTCGTGGCTTAATTGGTGTTTGGTTTGCTTCGTTTTACGGTCTTATCCCCCAGTTGATTTAATACTGTATCTTCTCATTCTGGTGAACACTATATAAGCAGATATATGTTTGGTTTGGATGAAAGTGGAAAATGTAGTTATAGGAATGGCAAATAGGTGGCCTTATTAAAACAAACAAAAACATTCTTCATAAAGACTGTTATGGTGATTTTCCAAGCGTAACTCAGATGTGGCACAAGGCCGAAAGTACGGGGCACCCAGTGAGGATCGAACTTACTACTCAGTCGTAACTGTTCCAGCGAGACAAGCTTGCTAACCATTACAATACCTCGAGGTGCCCTATAAAGACTGTTATATACGAACAAACTGTCGCTGCCGACACTTGAGTTTGAACATAGATCGCCAGTTAGCAAACACAGGCGATCCCTTTATTGAATCAAGTAGACCACGTGATCATAGAGGAAACACATAAGTAGAAAGTGACGTTACGTCTAAATGATCTATGTTTTTATACTGGGCACCTCGGCGTGGTGTAATGGTTAGCAAGCTTGTCTTGCTATGTCAGTTACTACTGAAAAGTGAGTTCGATCCTCACTGGATGCCCCATACTTTCGGCCTTGTGCCACATCTAAGCTACGCTTGGAAAATCTCTATGTTTCTATTCTATCCTCTGTTACTATACGGATCACTCTTTCTACACTATCTTTTATTACTATATGGGCCGCTATACTCTACTGTATTCCCTATACTATTTCTCTATTCAGATTACTATACAGTGATTACTTGTCGAGTAAGTATTATCGAAAAAGTACTATTAGTGAGAGTGATATTCGAAGGCGTTGGACACCAGTATTGTTCAACGACGTTACTATAGATGTATCTGCGATTACAAAGTCTCTACTACAACGAGCATTACGAAAGTGACAACGAGTATTCGTTGACATCACAAAAGTGATAACGAATATTCGTTGACATCACAAAATCCGTTAGGCAATTCTGCTATGGACAGGTAATGTAATGCGTATGAAAGACGAGAGGCACCCATGTGAAATCCTTTACACAGTACCCGGCCAAAGATTTACGCAGCTACCCTATGCGTCTCTATAAGTAGCAAATCAAACAGACGATGATCTATTGTTAAAGATGCTGGGAAAAACGTCGGTTTTTTGTATTGCTGCAGAGAGTACTTTCTGCTTTCTGTATCTTTCCAAGTGCCAAATCAGACCAAACAAATCGACTGTTGTCGGCACCCTCTCGCTTCCGGACATTGGATCGTCATCCTCTCTCGCTCGCTATTGCTTTTCTCTCCTCCGGCGGAGATGTCTGTGAATCAAAGAGAGCTTGGCGAGGCCATTTACGTGAATTTCATTTTGGTAGACAACTCTACGCGACGGAAAAGCCCACACACAATCGTCTTCCTCGCAGCTCAATGGCGATTGAGGTAGCCGAGATCCGACAAACTTGATCCGGCAAAACTGGCTGTCGAATGCTTGGTATGTCAAGGTTTATTATTCGGAATTTTTAACTATACTTAACGGAACTGATTCTAGATCTACGATTATGATTACCATTTTCATTTTATTTTACTTTTAAAGCCATTTTTAAATAAAAGTAGGAAACGTTGGCCGTAATGAAATTGGAGAGGTACAATTTTATAGGACTTGATTACCACACAACGGGTACATTTTATCCGTGACTATAAGAATTTTCCCACCATAGAGCACAATTTCAATAGTTCGTCTTATGGATGAAGGAGTATTACAAATAGCGAATTAAGCTAAACCCATTTGGAGTCATGCTCTCTTCGGAATGGTACTTAAGCTTCGCCAAATTTCTGAATTCTTAACAGAACTCGTTCTAGCTCTGCGATTACGACTGTCATTTCCATGTGGTCTGCTAAGTATCAATGTTAGAATACTTGCCGTTCTTCCAAATATCTTGACGCTGAGGTTGTTTTCGATACCACTCTCCTCCGAGCATTGCAATCGTCATCATCTCTCCCTATTGTGTTTCTCTCCCCTGGCGTAGATGTCTGAGAATCAAAGAGAGTTTGACGAGGCCATTCACGTGAGTTTGATTTTGGTGGACAATGCTGCGCAACGGAGAAGCCCACACACTTGTCCAGAAGCGCCTCCCTCGTGGCTCAAAGGGAATTGGTGTAAGCGAGATCTGACAAATCTGGTTGCATCGTGCCCATTGATGTTTGGTCTGGCGAAGTCCGTCTTGGTTACTCAAGCTCGACAGTCGTTGCCCTCTTCCGCCGGTTTGACCGTTGAGAACCTATAGATCTTTTCCTATTCCGCCGTTGATGTCTTAGGAGTTTGGACACAATTAGTCTGGTCCCTCCTCCTCGACGTTACCGCCATGGGTGGCCATACATGATTTGGAACTCGAGACGTCTTCGCTCTTGGGATCACTGGGACAAGTAAGCCCTCTATCATGACAAGGAACGAAAATATATATTTTACACTGGATGTCGGAGTGAACAGTTCGTTATCAAATGTACGACTTTGACTTATTAATAAATATATATATATTATCCCTCACCGCTAGCAAAAATCTGGGTTTCATGCGCGATGCAATCTTCAGGTGCTATGAACTGACCATTACACAATTTTGAATTATAATATAACTAGTTATCACAATGTTAGTGTAGTTATAAATTATGCTGGGATTACAGTTTTTTTTTAATTTTATAAGGAGAAAATCAAACAGACGATGATCTATCGCTAATGATGCTGGGAAAAATGTCGGCTGCTTGTATCGCTCCAGAGAGTACATGACACTTTTTTGTTTTTTGTATCTTTTCAGGTGCCAAATCAGTCCAAACAAATCGACCACTGTCGGCACCCGATCGCTTCCGAGCATTGGGATCATCATTCTCTCTTTATAGCCTTTCTCTCCCCCGGTGAAGATATCTGGGAATCAGAAAGAGTTTGACGAGGCCATTTACATGAATTTGATTTTGGT